CAATCGCTGGCCCGCTCGCCCGCCCGCCTGCCGTCGGGGGCTTTTTGAAACGAGCCTCCTCGGGCCTGCACGCCACGGAGCTCCTCGCACAAGCACACCACAACGCCGTTCTCAGCGAGCATGGGGTACGGCTGTCATCACAATGCCGCGTTCGGCCATGCCCAGGGACCCGGACGACCCCTGCCCCGGTGCAGCCGGGCCCCTCCACCCAGCGCCGCGGGCTCGCCTCCGAACTGGGCGGAACTGGGCGCAGGCAGGGCTCCTGCCCCTCCCTGGCCTCTGCCGGGCTGACGCCCAGGTCTCTCCACCCACCTCCTCAAAGCTGCCTCCTCGGGGTCTCTACTCAAAAGCCCCGGACCCCTAACCGAAGTGGGCTTCCCAGGCCATCCGCTGCACCCCCGCTGTAATTACTACCATGACCTAACCTGGCCTGCGTGTCCACTGCCACTGGGAAGTGAGCTCCATCCAGCGTCGTCCTGGCTGTGCGGCTTCGCCAGGGCGGCACACAGCAACCACCGGTAACTCTTGCTGCACACGTGAATGTATACCCTCAGAAAAGTCATGGCTCTGCAGGGATGCACCCAGGGCCCATTCTCCTGCCAAAGTGACTTTTTAAGTCCAAGGGGCATCCTAATCGAGCCCACAAAATCAGGCCTGGATCAGACCTGCAGAGGGGTGCTCTTCCCACTGCACCACTCTCCAGCCCAAAGCGTAGGCATTTCTTAGGCCTTCCTTTATTGTACAAGAAACTAATCAACACAAATACATTTAAAAATTAAAGGAAAGACTGACTCAGATATAAGTACAACTATTGACTTGAGTACTTTGTGGTAAGCTAAAATCTAATAGCTATTTCAGCTGTTAACCTTCCCGTTAGGCGAGGAGGCTGTTCATTCTGCATTGCTTCGAACATCCGGATGGCCACGTAGACAGATGAAATTCGCAGAACACTTAATGGAAACGTTCTACAAAAATAAGACATTCATTTATTGGATTTTCCAGAGAGGCACGTAGGGCTACAACAAATCACTCAAGTTGCAGTCTGCAGTCTTCAAGGAGTCAGGTGGCAGAACTCCAGGCTTTGCGTCTTCTGGTCCAGGGGTTGCTGAGGAGCACAGCCAGCAGGAGGAAGGATGCCAGCAGCAGGCCCTGGGCAGCGCACTGAGAATAAGGCTCCCCTGCAAGACAGTGCAGAGTGAGGCGGCACTCCTCCTTAACCCCGTTGGAATCGCACAGCCAGAGAGAAGCCAAAACAGCAATGGCCACTGGCTAAATAGCAACATCACTGGCAGCTCTGTAAAAGCTTTTCTATATGCTTTCAGGTTTTCTGTAACATTTACACCTTTACTTTAACTTTTAAACTGGTATTATAGAACTGACACCTGTTCCGGAAATCTGCTTTACCCTACCTTGGTAATACCGGGTCAATGGGTACAGCAGTTGTGGCCAGCACACGTCATTCCTGTCACAGTCGTACTCTGTGAAATTGATCTGGAATCTACAAGACATTTTGGAAGGTTACAACAACTATGATAAAGGAGAAGCATCAAATGTGACCGAAGGGCTACACTATTTTCAAATATGTTTTTTTTCTGCTTCCTCCTAATGTTGACCAGGTTAGCAACTGAATTACCTTGTCAAGGGGCGGGGTAGCTGGGCAGGTATCTTAATAAACTGGACGGAAGCACTGAGCGGGAAAAGGTCGGCCCTGCCCTCACAGGTGAGCCCACACTGGTACTGCCAGGTCACGGAGGAGAACCTAGGAGGGAAGAATGTGCAGTCACTACGTCGGCCTTCACCCTGGTCCAGAGAGCACCAGGAAGCTGACGCAACCCTGATATAAGCTGAGATTCTCTTACGTAAGTCTCAAATTCTCCTGGGTACTTGTTTATTCTTTTTATTTATTTATTTATTTATTTTTCAGAGAGATTTTTGCTATAAGGCGTGTGCGCTCACCGGAGAGGCAGAGAGAGACAGAGAGACAGAAGGCAAAAAATCACCCCCCGGGGGGATGGCCACGCCACAATCCCTTCTCCTTCATTCGCCTCTCAGGATTTGGGGCACACACACACATGCGCCCGGCGTGAGTTCAAGCCACCAGGTCCAGGACTGGAACCACACCGGACTACGTGGGAGTCCAGCGACATAGCCATTACACCATCTACTGGTCTCTCTTTTTTTTTCACTTGCATGTCCTTGCTAGAGAGACAGATAGAAAAGGAGCAGGAAAAAGCACCCCAATGGGGACCCCGCAGTCCCTTGTCTCCCATCTGTCTGCCCCAGTGGGATCCGGGGCATGCACACATATGTGCCCAGCACGTTTTCCAAGCCACTGGGCCAGGAGTCCAACTGTGTAGTCAGCCACGTGTCTTGCCCTCTCAACCAAGAGACCTGTTTTTTCTCGTACTATGTAAATTCTCCAATACATCATTTTCCATACATTTCCAAGGAGAACGAGGACAATGACCCCTCTTATACATCGCCTGGTAACAGCAGTCAGTGTGCTACTGCTCTTGTGGCCTACTCTGCTCTCCAGCCACCTCACTGAGAGACCAACCAGTGTGTAAGTCCCGGACCTGGCAGCTTACTCAGTCTCACTAACTAAAAACAGCACTGCAAGGTGGAGTCTACAGTTAACACCTGCCACCTCTGCCTCCCTGCATCCCTTCTTTCCTCAGTAACTGCGCTGCAATTCTCCCCTGGGGACCTGAGGGGACTTACCTGAGCCTAGGAGTAATCTAGGCCAGACATCCCCTGCGTCTAGTCAATCAGAGCTGCTTGCTGCCCAGCCCTGTGGCTATTCAGAAGGGAGCGCGTGACCAGTCAGTTCTGTGAAGGCTGGAAAGAGGCGCCCTCTCCACCGGGTTTGCCAAGTTAAAGTCAGCCTGCAATTGCTGGGCCCACTTTGCCATCTTTTGAGGAGATGCCATTCTCATCCCTGAGAATAAAGCCAACCTACAGGGATGAGACGCCCGGCCATGGCATCATATCTGCTCAATACTGCCACTCGGCTGAGCTACATGGAGGACTGGTTTGATCCCCAACCCACCCCACCAAGCCAGAGACGTTTGGACACACCTACAGCCCTGGCTACTTGGGAGGATGAGGCAGGAGGATGGAGAGTGCAAGACCGTCTAACATGTAGGAGACAGACATGAGCAGATAGTGCAGCGGTTATGTCATTGGACTTCCATGTAGTCGACCACGGTTTGAGGCCTGGATACCAGGCATACGTGAGCCCATGCCCAAAATCCTGAGAAGAGAATGGAGGAGAAAGGATTGCAGCGTGGTCATCCCCCCAGGGCGTGATTTCAATTTCTCACTTTCTGTCTCTCTCTCTCTCTCCAGCGAGCACATGCACCTTATAGCAAAAATAAAATGTAAAACACGAAAAGAGGAATTAAGAGATGAAAAGGAAGTGATCACTCACCACACGGGCACCATGGCGCTAGCTGCATGTGAACGCTTTTGAACTTGAGCCGGTAAACTCCCCTTTTCGCTTAAAGCAGTGTAAACCGAGGCCCCGACAGAAGCGTGGTTTGTAAAGGTGTTACTGCCATTTCACAGGTGAAGAGACTGCAGCTCAGGAGAGGCTAACTGCCCAGGTAACCTGCCTGTCTGTCACCAGAGTCTCCGACCACTGGCGAGTCACTGACTGCATGCTGACTGCATTCGAGTTTCAGGATATACTTAGCATCCGGTGGCCCCCCTCACCTCCACACCCCCTGATATCCCCCGCAGACTCTGGCCCGCAGCTTTACAAATGCATGTGAGAACAAGTTTCCATAAGAAGCACGGCTTGTCCGTAGTCCGCAAATACGGCTTATTCATGGTCCACCCACACGATTTGTGACGTGAACGAATTCTGAACAAGCCCGGCCCTACCTGGAGCACCCTCGAGTGAACGGGCTCTCCTGCTACCCTCTCCAAGACGCGCTCGTACCTGGTCTCCACGCCGAGGATCTCCTGCTGAGTAACGCCTTCCACCGAGCCGGCATCGGCGACGAGGATGCGGACGTGCAGCTGGGCGGGGACATCCAGGCAGATGCCACTGACGTTGCTGGGAGACGTGTCTGCCCCTGTGGCAGGGGCATCCACCCCTGCAGAATGGCAAGTATCGGATTTCTGAACGAGCAACTGTTTTCCTACAATGGAAATGAGACTGGACAGGAATCACAGTACAGCGCCGTCCACCTCTGGCAGGTCCCAGTCTCCCGTCATTCCGCATCTGTGTTGCACCGTGACTCTCTGAGGTGGAGGCTGGTGCTCGTTACCCCGCTGGGGCCAGATGGTGTCACGGAGGTAAGACGCGAGGCTGAGAAGCAGGCCCCTGTGGGCAGGAGGCCGATTCAAGTTCAGAGACCTCCAGAGCACGCTGGCACACGTGCTCCCACGGGTGGGGTGGCTGAAGCGGGGAGTAGGTCGCACGGCGGGATCCCATGGCGGGATCCCACGGCGGGATCCCACTGAGGGTGCCGTGTCTCTGCTTATCTGCCTGTCTCTTTCTCTCTCTCTCTCACTCATGAAATAAGTAAACTTCAAAAATGTAACTGTAAAAATGTTTCCTTTTTGGGGTTAAGGCACTGGACTCCCACCTGGCTGACAGTGGCTGAGTCCCAGACACTTTCTCTCTCTCTCTCTCTCTCTCTCTCGTGAGTGCATCTACCCTGTAGCAAAGTTTAAAAATACTAATAGTGGTAAATTAAATTCTTTTTAAAAATTTGTCCTTTGTGTTAAATCAATTGTTGGAACTTTAAAAGCCCAGACCCCACAAAATAAAATCCTAAATCTTGATTCAGTCCCAAGATCCCCACTGAAACCTACCCAGCCTGGTAACAGCAGCTTACACAATGGCACCGAAACTCCAGAGAGAACTGTTGCGTGCAGCCACGGCTCTGTAGGGCTGCGAAGACGTCTAACATCCACGCTAACAAGTGTGGTTGGTAAGAATCTGCTAGAGTGAGCGCGAACTCCTGATGTGCTGCCACAGCAGTTACTTAGCAGGAAGAGAATCAATTCAAATGACAAATCATTCCCTTTCATCTTGAAATCTGGCACTGGGGCCAAACCGGCAAGATCAAGGACAGGAGGGGGTGCAGGCTCTGGAGCCACTCTGGAGGGGGTTCTCTGTCCCCTCAGGGGTGCTGCAGGTCAGTAACATTGAACTTCCGTGAGCACCTGTGTCCACATCACTTCGTTTCTGTTTATTAACCAGGATCGGGTTAATGTTGCCCTGGCTCAGACTAGAAGCAGAAACTAACCGCTTCCACCTTGGAGGCAACAGAACGTCCTCACTCTGACTCAGCCCCCAAACGTGTGAGTCTGGGTCTCAGTGCGGAACTCCCGAGCCTCCCATTTCTCAAGGGCTTTGACTGACTCCTGCCCATACTGAGCCTGGATGGAAGAGCCCTGGAGCTGAGGAGCCCAGCCTCGGGCTGGTCAGTACAGCGGCAGCAGAGCCTAGCGGCAGCAGGACCCCTCCAGATCAGTGGGAGGGTGGTCGGGGCACTTCAAGCCCAGACACTGCATGCTTCCTGGCCACTCCAGCGGAAAGTGGGGGTCCTAATCACCATGACCCCAGTCACGAGCGGTGGTTTCTGATCGGTTCCAGTCGCTGAGCCTGAGTGACCGCCCTCGGCGGGGAGGGCCAGCTCACACGCCCTCTCTCCTCCATCTCTGGCAAATGCACATGCTCTTGAGTAAATTAAGACAGTGCGAGGGAGACCTGCAAGGGTCTTCATGTTACAACGCACCAGGAGCACGGGAGCCCCGATCACGGGCACACGTGTGCCTGCCACACGCAGGGGCTGTGGGATGCAAACCCAGGCCTTCCCCAGGGCCAGCAGCACGGAATGCTGCCCCTGCCACACCACTGTGTCGCCCCCACTTGTGGTCTTTTAAGTAAATGAAAGTGCTTTTGGAAAGTATAGAGGCAATTCTCAATACCCATATTTACGGCAATGGAAAAGAGGAATGGAAATGGGAATACACCGGGAATCCTCAAACCTTTCAGACCCTCTGTTACAAATACTAATGGCTCATGAAAGAACTGAGCACGTTTTTATTTTTTTATAGTTTGCTATAGGGTACATGCCCTTATCAGAGAGACAGAAAGGGGGAAAGGGCGAAGTCACCCCAGGGTGGAAAGCCACACTGCAACCCCTCCTCCGTTCTCCTCTCAGGATTTTGGGCATGCGCACAAATGCACACAGTGTGTTTTTCAAGCTGCCAGATCCAGGCCTTGAGCCAGACAGCGGGCCACGTGGGATCTAGCACCTTAACCACCACGCACGCCACTGGCTGGCCTCGAAAACTGAGCACCTCACATGAATTTCCTTTCAGAAACAAAAGGACATTCCATTCAACGCAGCAAGGGCATCACAAATGCAGGCAGAGGTGGGGGAGCAGGCGGGGCTGACTCACGTGCTATCTCCAGCCAGCCGTCACTCAGGTCGCTGTAATCGGAATTGCCTCTGGCTGCGACATGCGTGGCCTGCATTAAGGAATCAAGCCTTTCCATGGCATACTCCCTGCAAGACAGTGAGTGCATCTCAGCTCCTGGCTGCGGGTCTCACAGGCAGTGCCAGAGTGCTGCTGGGCAGAGGAACCCCACTAAGACCGGCACCGTAGGCGCTTCCCAGGATGGGCCTGTGCAGGGGAGGGCACGGAGGAGCGTCTTCCACTCTGAACTCACAGTGGTGGTAGCTTACCTGAGTACTGCGGTTTACAGATGCCACTACATGGCAATTTTCCAGGATGAATTCATGGGCCGGAGCGACCCAACAGTACGAGAACCTAGGTATCTGGCTAGAATTAATTCTGAGTCATAAATTAAGTGGAGATGAAGAACTGGAACTTAGCACAAAGGCTCTATAGCCTAGCAGTTAAGGGATATGGATTCTCCATTACTAACTATGGTTCAAATCCCAGCCCCGGTAGCTTAAAACCCACAGTGAGCATGTGTGCAAGTGTGCCCAAACTTCGGCAGGATGGCAAAATAAAGAAGGGATTGCGACAGGACCATACCGCCCCCAGGGGTGTGCTTGCTTTTTCTTTCTCTGATGAGTATACATGCCCTCTGGCAATTAAGAAAGACAACAATGAATAACTAAGGCAACTGGAGCCGAGCATCCCTCCTCTCCAGCCCCTGGAGCGTACACACCTTCGGCCCTGCAGGAGTCGGGCTCCGACTGCAGACTTGGGCCTACCTCCCGTGATCAGGAGCTGCAGCCAGTCAGTTACACAAGTTTTTAACTTCGTAATGCCCCTCCATCTTTTCCCTGCTCCCCAAAGAACTATAGCACTTAGGATGTGATGCAGATGAAATATGCATAAGAACGCATGTCCTTAAAACCGTGATGAGGTATCACTTCATACCTACTCCAATGGCTATGATCAAAAAAGCGGAAAATGGGAAGTGTAGACAAGGATATGGTATCATTCTGCTGATGGAATGTAAAACAGTACGGCTACTAAAGACAAGTTTGGCAGTTCTCGAAAAAACTAAACAGAATTGCCATACTACCCAGGAATCCCACTGGTCAAAAAGATGGCAAACAAGGGGCCAGCAGATGGCATAGCGGTTACGTCACTGGACTCCCACATAGACAACCGTGGTTCAAGTCCCACACCAGGCGCATGTGTGTGTGTGCCCAAGATCCCAGGAGGAAAATAGAGGAGAAGGGATTGCGGTATGGCCATTGCCCCTGGGTGATTTCTCATTTTCCCCCTGTCTCTGTCTCTCTCCGAGCCTGCAAGCGCCTCAAGGCAAAAACCTCTAAAAAAAAATATGGCAAACAAATGTTCATACAGAAACTTGTGTATGGGGTCGGCCTCAGAGTCCAGTGGTTATGGTAATCAGACCTACAGAGCCGGCTGCACAATTTGAGTCCTAGATCAGGAAGCTTGAAAAACACACTGAGGGCGTGTGGGTGTCCAAAATCCCAAACTGGGGAGAGATAAAGAACGGATTGTGGCATGACCTTTCCCATAGGGGGTGCTTTCCCACTTTCCCTCTCTCTTTCTCTCTCTGGTGAGTGCATGTGCCCTCTAGCAATTGGGGAAAAAAACACAACCTGTATTGTGAGTGTTCACAGAAGCACTATTCACAACAGCCAATAGGTGAGAACTCAGATGTCCACAGATGTATATATGTATATACGCGTGTATTGTGTATATGTATACACGTACAGGGCTATGACTCAGCCATAGAAAAAGATACATATATACACGCTGGTGTACATGTGTACGTACATATGTATGTGCGTATGTAGATACAAATGTGTGTGTACACACACACTAGGCTACGCTTCAGCCATAGAAAGAGTGATGCACTGACACACAACACGGACAAACCTGGAAAACGTGATGCTGAGCAAGAGCAGAAGACACAAAAGACACGCATGTTAGGACGCATTTTATGAAACATCCAGAGCAGATAGAGCCAAGCGCTGCAGGTCAGCGGCCACCAGAGGCCGGTATGAGGAAGGAATGGGAGGCACGGCCCGTGGTCCGGGCTCCCTCTGCCGTGGCGAACCGTTTGGGGACGAGGCAGAGGCTGTGGTCGCTCGGCACAGTGGATGATGCACTGCCATGAACCACCCGCTTCCATTCTGCTGAGTTTATTTCTGTCACGAGCAAGCGAGAGAGAAAGTGCCCCCAACAGGGTCTTGACGGCCATCTGCCCCAGCTTTGGCCAGCCAGGTCCTGGGCAAGCGTGTGTCGCATACGCAGGGAGCCTCTGGTCTTGACCGGGACCCCACTATGTGAGAGTCCCCTGCAGGGCATCACGTTTCACCACTGCACCACCATCTGGTCCTCACCTGACCTCTCTAAAACGATTCATCTCATTATGTGAATTATACTCCAATTATAAAAAAATTGTTTTAAATAAAAATATATATATAAGCATATCCTTACATACACTTTCCAAATACTAGCCATACAATTAAATGCAAAGCTCTTTATATACCAGGGCCAGCAGGCAGTATAGTGGTTAAGGTGGATTCCCATATGGTTAACGTGGTTCGAGTCCCAGATTTGGTGGCTTGCTTATTTTCCCTTTCTTTCTCTGTCTCTCTCTGTCCAAATTAAAAAATAATAGTGGGGCTTGCAGGTGGTATGGTGGTTAAGGGTGCTGGGCTCCCACCACACAGCAGGCTGTGGTTTAAGTCCCAAATCTGGTGGCTTGCTTTCTCTTTCTTTGTCCCCCTCTTTCTTTCTCTCTCTCTTTGTCCCTCTCTGGTCAAATCAAAATAAATAAATAAATAAAATATTTTCAAAAGTAATAGTAACAAATTAAAAATTAAATAATAATTTTTAAAAATTCGTTTAAGTTCTTTATATACCATGTAACAGGACTTAACATTCTTGAGACATTAATTGTACTAATTTTACCTTGCTCTGGCCCTTTTCATAGCTCCAAGAATATAAGGTTCCGATAATCTGAACAAACTTTAGCAGAGAAATTCGTTTGGTGTGGCTGAAAGGCCTCAGTCCTGAGAAAGACATCTTAATTGTCCCTGAATTGATGTTTGAGTCAACTCTAAACTGTACTCATCACTCACCGTTGCTGTTACACGTTGCTATGTCATATGACCTGTCCCCAAAGGAGCGTGTGCTGCGAGCTCGGTCCCCAGGTGCTGGTGGTCAGGGTGGTAGGCCCTCTGAGAGGTGGGCCCTAGTGTGTGTTGTTTAAAAAATGGGGCACAGCCCCCATGAAGAGATTAGTGCTATCTTGTGGGAGTGAGTCCCTGCTCTTGCAGAAGTGGGTGAGAGTAGCTTTTATAAAAGTAAGATGGCAGGGCCGGCAGGTGGCGGGTGGTTAAGCGCACTAGACTTCCACATAGCCAACCTTGGTTCAAGTCCTGGAGCTGGCGGCTCACTTTCACTTTCTCTCTCTCTCACTCTGTCCCTCTCTGGTCAAATGAAAATAAATAAATCAATAAATAAAGTAAAATAAAAATAATTCTTTTATAAAAAAAAAGTGAGATGGCTGTCCACAGCCCGCCA